GGAGAGAGGGTGGGGAGAGGGAGGGGGGAGAAGAGAGGGGGGGAAGAGGGAGGGAAGAGAGAGAGAGAGAGAGAGAGAGAGAGAGAGAGAGTACACCTATCCGTCTCCTTGTCCGTTTTCCCTGTCTGTGAACCCTGTGTAAGAAAAAAGAGCGCCTAGGACTTTGTTGACTCGACTCTTGACGTGATCGCTGTCAGATGCGTCCAAGTCGGGCCGTAATTGCGGAGAGATATAATTGCCTTCCCCCCCCCCCCCCTCCAACCTCTCAAGGTGCCTTGCAATTGTAGCCACCCTTGTTGATTTGCATCTGTACCCCTCTTCCTTGCCCCCACTATACACCCAAACACCCTGTGCTTAGTAATGTTGCAGTGTGAGCAATTGCCCATGGCGGCACCAACCAAATGCAAATGTGATGGTTATCTCGCGTTTTATTGCGCGCCGATGTGGCCTTAGATAGAGTCGTAATGACAGTGAATGATTAATATGAGATGCCACAGAGCATCAGTGATTGCTGCCCTGCGTCGTCGAGTGACCTTAAGAACTCCAACGATTGCGAAATTGGCCCCCGAGCGCCACAAACGGTAATCAGCAACTGAGGTTCTAGTGGCTTATAGGAACGGGATGCGGTCGGTCGGGTGAGTTTGGGGAGAGCGTAGATTCGCTGACGCGACCTAAACGAGCCGACTATACTGTATATAATAAATATATACAGAGTGACAACCAGGCAGGAAACATGCGTCTGCCAACCGTGACGGAGTGAAAAGTTGAAAACAAGAAAAGAAAAGAAGGGATTACGTCCAAGTCCAATTGCTGACCGATCCCTTGTTTGCAGGTCGTCTTTGGACCGTCAAGGGATGGCGGGTACTACTTGATCGGCATGACGGAGGTTCATGATGTTCTCTTCAAAGTGAGTGTTTTCTTTATTTATGTCTGGACTCTGGAGTGTATTTTACTCTTTTTATTTTCTGGCTGTGCACACCCTTCTTTGTTGCGCGGGTGTTTTGCTGGCTTGTGATGGGGTGTGAGCCTGCAGTCTGTGGTGTTTTGCAATTGGCGTGGCTGAGCGATAGTCTGCTTTGATTTTCGTCACAGGTACCTTGAGGGCAGTGGCTGGTGGTCCCCGCCACCTCAGAGGGGTATCAGTTGTCTGGCAGTCGTCGATGCTTGACCCACCCACAACTGGGGTTAAGGTGGGATATCACTTACAGTGTATAATCAGTTAGGGGACTCTGCAGACTGTAGAGGGTTCAGCCTCCTGATGAGTCCATGAACCGCTGACGAAACAGTTTGCCACAGCCCCTCGTTTGTTGCCCTCTTCTCCCTCCCTCTCTGCCTACCGTCTACCGGACAGTGCTGTTTGTTTGGTAAATATATAGTGCAGTGTCCTCGTGCATTGCAGTTCAGCGGGTAACGACTACCGTCTTCCCTGGAATACAACCCACTCTCATCAAGGCCGCATTGGACCGAAAAGATAGCTTTATACATTCACTACCGGGGGGCGTTATGTTCGGGGGAAAGATGGTTAGTACCTCTCTTTCATGCGCTAGTGGCTTCAACGCGTAGAAAAAGAAAACTTGCGTGCCGATGCATCCATGTATACACATGCATCAGATGGGATGCAATGGGATGAGGTTGTTCAGGCACTCTGCCATGATAGCCGCTGCTGAGATAGATGGTTGAAGATTGCAGTGGTTAAATAATAAATATGGTTGAAGCACCATATTTAACTTAGTCTAGTGGATTCTTTTTCCTTTTTTCGTGTGTTTTTTTTTTGTATTTCCTATATTGGATTCAAAATTTCAAATTTCAAATGTGGAGAACAAAGTGGAAAATTGGTTGGCTAAAAGGTTTGCAAAAGAGCGATGAAATGTGTTTTCGGAATCGGAATGCTCAACCTATAGATCACAAGCAAATGCGATGAAAAGTGTACAACATCATGTCTAGCTACATCCCAAGCCAAGGCGATGAAATGAAATGTGTCTGGACTTCAAAATCGTAAAGCAGTCGGAGTACAAGCTAAGCGAATGCGACGAGATGTGATCAAAATCCTCACAGACACAGTCATCAGTCATTTGGAGGGGGTCTGAAAGCAGTTCAAGTAAGGTCCAAAGGGTCGCGACGTTTTGGTCCAATTCAGAGGTCAACAGTCACTTCTCTATCTAGACTTCAAAGGGTCTGAAAAAAGTCCTAGCGTCAATGAAAATTAGGGTCAAGGGTCGATCGTGACTTTTGGTCCAAGTCAATCACTTGGTCTGAAAAAAGTCCTAGGTGTCAATGAAAATAGGGTAAATGGTCGATCGGAGCGACTGTTTATTAAAAACACAGCACTCTGCCAAGTGGTAACACGATGTATAGAGTCTGACACCTGCCCGGTGCTGGAATGTGAAAAGGAGAAGTGACATAAGCTTCGAATGGAAGCCCCAGTAAACGGCGGCAGTAACTCTTAACTGTCAACTTTAGGGCAGTTCGTGACTTTTGGTCCAAGTCAGGGGTAAAAGATCACGTGGTCTGAAAAAAGTCCTAGGGTCAATGAAAATAAGGTCAATGGTCGATCGTGACTTTTGGTCCAAGTCAGGGGTAGAACATCACGTGGTCTGAAAAATATCCTAGGGTCAAGGGTCGATCGTGACTTTTTTTTTTGTCCAAGTCGGGGGTAAAAAAAAAATCATGTGTCTAGGCTCCGAGGGGTCCCTGTGAAAAATCTTAGGGTCAAGGGGTATACCCGGTATAGGCGCCAAAATCGAGGGTTAAATGAGTGAGGTGACCTGTCGGCCCGGCCTGAGACAGTTGACCCTTGGAAAATCTATAGATTCAGGGCCAACCCAGGAAAAGCAGACAGATATATAAGGTCAGAGATTTCTTAGTAGGCAAACATAGGGGTGTCTTGGGTCAATCGTCACTTTCAGTCTTACAGCAGGGGTAAACAATATTACGGCAGGGGTAAAAAATACCGTCTCTAGGCTTGGACGGGTTTGAGAAAAGCTCTACCGTCTTCACCCGAATAGAACGCCCGGTCACTATGGCTGTATTGGGGCCAACTTGCAGACCGAATGCCGCGCGACAATGACCGGGCGTTTTATTCGGGTGAAGACCGTAGGGTCCATGGGTATACGGTCCAGACTGCAGGGTCGAATGAGGCCCCAACCGGTGCCCCTGCTTGAGACAGTTGACATTTGGAAAATCTATAGATTCAGGCCCAACCAGTGGTAAACAGCGGGACTAAGAGTCAGATTTTTTATTTTATTTTATTTTATTTTAGAAAAGATTTGGACCATTTCTCGATTTATGCGTGTCATCCTTGAAAGCGCAGGGGCCATGCTAATCTTCCTTCTCTGTATCGTTCCAATTTTAACGGATGTCCCGAAGGACAGAGTCGGAGATTTCTTAGCAGGCAAATATAGGGATATAGGGTCCAGGGTCGGTCAGTCCAGTTGATGTAGCTCATTGTGGTTAAGAGCACCGGTTGGAAATGCGTATTGTGGTACTATGAGGTTGCGGGTTCAAAACTCGATTGCAGCCTTGCGCACGGACACCGGCAGGGCGTTAGAATGACGCTCGGCTGGACACCACCACCCCCCCTCCCCTTGGGCTGACGCATGGTAAAAGCTATTACAGACACTGCCTGCGCACCGCCCGAGGGGTTGTCGATGGTGTTGTATGTCGGGTCTCGATACTGCGTGGGTTGCTTGGGGGTGTTGGTCTTGGGTGTTCCGTGGATCTCCCCAGTCTGGCGTATCATACACAGGGGCCGTTTGCGATTGTCGCTCAAATGGTAGAGTCGTCAGGTCACATATCGTAGATCATGGGTTTGAGTCTGGCTTGGGACTTTTGGTGGTGGTGGTGGGGGGGGGGGGGTCTTGTCCAGCTTGGCCTGTCATCTCTTCAAAACGGACACATAGTTCCCTCTACGTAGTACTGCACTTATCTGGCCTTCGAGCACACATGATACGGTGATGTGCTGCAGCGACGCGCTACAGTGAGTGCGAGAGGAGGCAGGGAGAGGATGGAAAGAAGTACCATAGCTAGAGCAGAAAGAGATTGAGGAAGATGGTTATCAGTGAGTTGGGAGAGGGGCTTGCATTTGCTGAGGTTGGCGAGTTGGTGGAGAAAGGTCCCAGCCATTGCTTCTCTACCTTTGTCTATCTTTCTTCTGGTGACTTGCTGCTTATGCTCGGACTACGTTCAGTGATTCTCAACTTGTTGTCTACTACATTCTGTGATTCAGAAACCTGTTTTCTACTACATTCAGTGATTCTGGACTCGTTTTCTGCTACATTCAGTGATTCTGGACTTGTTTTCTACTACACAGTGATTCTGGACTCGTTGTCTACTCTGAGTGGTTCCTCCATTTGAGTGCATTGGTGATACTTGCGTGATCGATCTACTTGCAAAAGCTTCTCACACTTTCCTGGTGCTGTCTCTTATACACATCTAGATGTGTATAAGAGACAGGTGCCTGGATTGGCCAGCGACGGCCAGCGACGGGCAGAGAA